GATTACCTCCCGGATAACGATAGTTAATACCATGTAATCAAAAGAGCCAGCCACTTTCTTTATTATCTCTAATTTATTGCGGCTATCCTTCCTTGTACTGCAATCTACGGCATGCTCTGCAAACGTTTTTGCTTCCTACGCATTGTTTTTATGTGGACCCACAGGGCTACTGATGCATTAAATTTTACACGCTATTTTAGTATATGACGACATGACTAAATGATACTTTGGCCACTACACTATTTCTCAAACCGGAATTCCAGAACACTAGATGGAATAAAACACGCTTTTGGATTAACTTCCGAATAGAGCGTGCACCTTTCTCTCAGCTACTGAAATAAGAAAGATTAGGTCAAATATCGTGTATTTCGAAAGTTCACTGGTATCATCAGTTGTGAAAACAATCTCCGTACTAGCTATTCGATAGTGAAAAATGGAATACGGGCCTATATTGTGGATTGTTTTAAATTGTGATTTTAACATGGTAACTAATTTCCGGGACATCCAGGTAAAGCCGACCTAGCAAACAAGATCATTTTTGGTGATAAAAATGAAGCTAAAGATAACGAGTATACGGTTGACATAAAATGTAGCAGGGAAAGTACTATAAATGTAATTGACAGTTAAATTAACAATCACGTTTCTAATTGCTTACGTGACTTTAAGTTCATTAGTTAGAATATTTGAAAGCGGCTGGAATGTTAATCATCACAAACGTGCTACATATGACAAGGTTCCCGACGGTATGAGGAAACCAGTTCTACAGAAGAACAAAGCCTTGTTCGGCTAGATATTTTCAAACAAACTCGGCGGTTAACACCGACTATCTTCATACGGCCATCGTGTGGACAAGCTTATGTCATAACTTATATTATTGATTAGGTAAAGGGAATGCCACCAAATAGTTAGCTAATTATCAGACGTTGTCAACAAATTAAGGTTAGTATCACCTTACGGCAAACTCAATGGATCTTCGCAGTTCGAATAAATCATCGTGTGAAATCTTTTACCTACGGTATGGGTTTATACGATGTCCTTTAGGAGTGGGAATTAGTAGACTGTACATAGAAATTGTCCATAATCACTGATAGTATTCAATAATTATGCAACCGGTTGCTGGCTACAGGCATTCTAGTTTCAGGTGTTTTGCTTTCTTTTGCGTTAGATATCATGGAGTTGTGAAAAAGTGCCTAGCCTCCTAGTAGCTCATTTCGATTTTGCTGAACAATCTCAGCAAATGAACTCCAATAAGAAAGCAAAACAACCAATGTTAATTTAAGAAACACACAGTAACCCCCGGTGGATATGGAATATAAATAAATGTTGAATATTCTGCCTGTGCAATTACAACGCGTATACTTTATTGTACTGCACCAAATGTCGACTATGCTAGTTCAGGAAGACTTTGATTATCCTAAACATGTTCGCTTTAGTATGGGCAATTTGGCATGACCTGCACTCAGCGAAGGAGAGCGGCAATTGACCACAGACTTAGGCCCAGCACTCTGGTTAAACGAACCTTCTGACGGAACATCACACAACATTGCAGTATACCAGCCTAAAAATTAATGTATACTTACTTATCATCAGCGTCAGTGCATTGAAGAACCGCACAGGAACTGCACGCGTGGAAATTTAGCTCTTACGGTAGGGGACTTTGAATCTGCCGGAACACATTGCGTACATACGTTTTTCACGAAAGTAGGAAGAACTGAGACAGTATTCTGTCATGCGTTCACATGGGAACGGAAAATTCACATGTGCCTTCGCAATATTCCAGTACACTTTATCGACTCTTAGCTTCCAATCTGGCTATGGACACTTTAAAGCCGAAGGCGTCTACGCAGGGCCAAAGTTTCGAGCACAAACATACAAAAACGACGTCGCTTCCATATGTTTACTATGACAGCACACAAGAGGTTTTCTGCTCACTTGCAGATTCGAGTGCGCATCGCAGGTAACAGTATTAAGCGGGATAGATGTTAGATTAGGAATCCACCATTTGCTTTGAAGTAATCGGCATTTTGATTAAACTATACATAAAGGCCAAACCAGTTTCAGTGACCAGCTTACTCTACCCATGCAACCTTATTTCAATATGGATGTCAACGAACACAAACATGCATCACAATAAGTTCCAGCTAGCTCTCCGTAGATCAACATGAGACTCAAAACGTGACACTGACTATTTCCGTAGTGTTACCGGTTTTGGACACGACTAGTTCAATTTCCATAACAGGAGTCGAAATTTTTAACATGTGCTTCTCCAAAGCGTTTGGTCGCTTCGACTACCGAAATGTCCTATATGAACTTCAGATCTATGACACCGGTGACCCATTCCTGCGTTGGATAGTCAATTATTTGAACGAACGTTGTTCGGCGGTAGATAACCAGAATCTCTGTCCGACGCAATTGTGGTGGAGTGCGGTGTACCACAAGGCTCGTCGTTAGAGCCTTATCTACGTTTAACTTTCATAAACTATCTAGCAAGGACAATTGCTTCTGATCTCCTATATATTGAGCGGATGAAATGAAGATGTGACAAGCGATCAGGGAACCTGTCGACCGCGAAGGTCTCCAGTGCAACTTTAACATGACTTCGAACTAGTCAGTTCAAAATGTCGTGTCACGCAATGTGGAACGATGTCCCATTTTTCACTTGCATAGTAGGCAGGATTACACGTATTGACTTGTTTTACACATATTGCTAACCAATTCGCGGGACGTTACCTTGGTGTGCTCATACAAAGTGAGTTTAACTGTTCAAAAGTCTGAGGTTTCTTCAAAATTAAGCAACCAGCAAGTCGGCTTGCTGCGGAGGGTATCCGGGAGTTGTGACCCATCAATCTTCCCAATGACACAATTATTTCGCGCGCCATCATGCCGGATACGCCATCAAAACTTGGCAACCTTGGTTGAAGCGTGATCTGGTGGTACTAGAGACACAACAACGCAGTGCTAAAAACAACGCCAAGGATCTACGCAATCTGTCTCACCAGTAAATTTGGACGTTGTTGGGACTTTCCACCAGACAATACCAAGTTGTGCTCGGCGAGCTCATTTTAGTGTACCAATTATTGAGTGATCCTAATCAGGCATACTGTTACTTGAGGAAACTCAATCATAGGCCAATTTTAGAGATAACTACCTGCAGCTGAGTGGACAGCATAGCCCTCTGGAATGCCGGCGGAACTACTTTGCTCTTCTCGTTTGCCTACACTTGAACTATCTCTCAAAAACAATTGCTTCCTCTCCCAATTTGCATATTTTCAGATAACCATTAAATATTGCGCTTGGCGCCCATTTCTTCGTTTCCCAATCTCTGATAGTTTGAATATGTCACTGATGACCTCAACCCTGTGTTCTGTCACATTGAGCTAAAGAGACGGTACAGATTTGAGTATTCTAGTGTATTATTTCCTCACTGAGTACATTAGCTATACCTATCCCATCTGGCCTTATGGTTTGCATTCAATTCTCCTTTGGAACACGTTATTCAGAAACTTATTTGATCGCTAGACGCTTAAACAGGCAGTTCACGTTTCTTTTGATATTGTAGTTTAAGCTTTGTCATCTTACCGGATTCCTCAAGCAAATGATTATTTACCCGTGGTACATCATTGTTCACCGTACATAAAACTAGAGAAGGCAATCAATTGAGAGCATTAGTAAAGTTCATTATTTTAAACGCACAGCCAAATGTGTCGCTAATAAAAGCCTATTCCGTCGGGATTAAATTATGGGACCTAGCTGAGAATGAATCATGGTATACTTTTATATTACTGTTAGTTCAAAGTCAGAATAATTATGGGAAACACATAATCCTGTCAGTTGCGAACCAGTCCTGTCACTTTAGATCTATCTGCAAATACAACACAGCGATTTTTCATTTTGACGTAAGTAGTCCACTAAGGATACTGAAAGCCAATCTGTTTATATGCTTAATTAACTGCACATTAGTGCTCGAATTCTCAGTACATTTTAGGCGCGATTTTTACGTATTCTTTTAAATTTGTACCATCAGACCCGTTACTGTTCTCCCGGGCAATCCGGGCTTGAACATATTGCAATGAAGTGGGGAGTCATTCAGAATATATCCACGCTGAATTGCAATGCAACTAACAGTATGTTTTGCATGCTCCATGCGAGTACGCTTCATCCCTCATCCAGTATACTTCAAATCGTGTACTGCGAAATTACACGCCTCATAACCAAGGAATGTGGACCGATTATAAATTATGTTCTGCGTTGTGGGCAAATGTGTGGAGTACACCGTAAAACCGCTGAGTGTATGGTTTCTCTTGGAATACCTTGGCTTAAAACTGAAACATTTGTAATTGCTAAATAAAGTGGTCTCCGAGAATGACCATACCCAATACAATTATATCAGCTTCAGTAATAAATGGTATTGAACATCGCGACTTTGTTACCATACCCAGTATCTGCAGTAGTTATAACAATGCGAGAACTTCATCTCGCTCTGCTCCAATTTAGCTCACCTTCACGGGTATGCTTTAAGTTCCCAATGAGTAATTTGTGCATTAGCTATCTGTGAACAACCGCAATTCTCTCAGCCATTAGCATTAATTATAAATCAAGAAATGTATAAACAACGAAACTTTGTGGTCAACAGCTTTGTTAAAACCGAACTAAGCCCTGAACTACCTACCACCTGCTTGATACAACTGCGTGAATCACCATAGTTTGTTTAACATTCACGGTGCAACGGTCACTAAAACTTTCGAAAAACCGGTTCCATTATCTTTAAGCGGACTCAGTATTCCAATGGTAGACGAAACTGCCTCTCAGTCATGTTCACAAAATTTCACTGTAGGATATTTTAACTTCGCTCCTTCAATCCCAGAACCCTTATCTTGGTTAGAAATACGATTGCAACGCTGTTTTTCTCAATACATTATTGCACACATTGGGATTAATTGCATCATACCCTCCTTCCAATGTCTTGCAAATAAGTATATTTTACAAAACCGAAATTCCGGTCAACTTACTGACTGTTCAAATGCCGGTAGATTGGTTGGTTCACCAATAGCCATTGATAGTTGCCTCTGAGCACCGGCATCAGTGTCTCGAGGAAGTAAAGTGTATCGACTGTCGGAAAAAGTATTAACTGAAAACAGTTCATTTTCCGCAGGTGTGCATTCTCTAAAAGGACATATTGAATCCATTGCTCCATTCGCATCATTTGCAGTTTGCGAAGAGTTTCTATGAGGTGAGCGGCATTCGGAAAGCCGTCCGCTTCCCAGTTGAACTTTGGTTGACAGAGACGCGCAATTCAATGAAGTTAGCAACGGGTGTAGGTGACAGGTGGACTGATGTGTCCTACGAGCGCCATCTAAGTGGTAATTGAAAAGTCAACATTTTTATCTAGCGGAATAAGCTGAGAAAGACAGGGATAAACGTTTGATGAGGATAATAAGAGTTACATCGCCTCCCTGTATATGGGATTAGGTTTGATAACGTTGCCCTCATGACCTTAAATGCTATCTCGGCGTTGAAATATTTGCTGTTGTTCAGTAAAGCGAGGTGACAAATGGGAGCGTTTTACCCATCTTGACGGTTAGCAATATGTTAAATATCAAAGGAATATAATTTTCTGCCTGCTAAGTGCATACATATTATCTCTCCTATGACGAAAGGACCTGTACCAGTAAGTTTATAATACTAATGTTGCTGGCGTAAATTACTATCAAGTATCTAAATATTGATCATAATTAATCAGACCAAGCAGAGCACGTATTCACTGGATAAGAGGTAACAATGGCATTACGGATAATATAATATACGATATTCATACATATAGATGTATATATGCGTTATCAATCGGTACCTGCGCTACATTTACTCCTGAGCGCAAGTTCCCAAGTGAAACGCACACAGATAGGCTCCTCACTTTACCATATTCTGTGTATGCCGTTCAAATCACCACGCGTGTATGTGTGTTGAATAGGAAAAAGTCAACAAGGATGCCAGCCATGTAGCAATTTATAACATCTCGCTTTGGATAAGACAATGATGGCTTTCCGCAAAATAGGACACACTCCAATCGGATTAAATTTGGGTCTGCTACCAGAGTGGGAAATGCATTGAATGCGCAGTATGTTGTTCTGAGCTATGTGTCCATCAAACCTAACCGATATCATCGGTCATCCTATCGTCTTGAAAATATCCCTCCCATGCGTAAAACGTGAGCGTCAGCTAAACAAAATTTGCAGTCTAAAAAAGCGCAGCCGTTTTTATGTACAGGACCAACGCTGGTCATAAGTCACTTTTCCTCTTAAATACTTTCCACTGCTCCAGATAAATCGCCTGTCACGGAGTTACACGCTCCCGTGCCTCTGACACCATAGTGACTTACTCAGAATGCTTAAAGAGTTTCTGTAGCTAAATTTATATATAATTAAATAACCACGAGCATTTTGTAGGCATGAGCAGCTAAAGTAACAGCCGAGTATATAAATTACAAACTTATGATAATTAATTGCATTTTAGGTGACGGAGGTGTACAATATAATCCACTGTTTCGCAAATAAAAGAATAAAGTTAGATAAATCATGCAACAACACCTGATCTACACAATCACAGTATTCGGAAGATGTTTAGGAACCGAATGCTTTTGCTACGTCCTCAGTCAACACTGACTGTTGCCATGTATTGAAGCACGTTCTGTCGGTCAGTGTAAATTGACCTCATTCTTGTTGCGCCTGAGAAAACTCGTAATGTTAAGTAAGCATGTTTGGGCTCCAATAAAACTACTGAAACTAAATATGTTGGCAATTTCTATTCAACATCTAGGTTCGTATATTGAGAATAAATGCCGCAGGTTGAGCCACTTTCTATAGGCGGAACGCGGATTCTCTGCATTGAGTTACTCCTAAAATCGCGTATTTTCACTTCACAGTTAGATAATTACACTAGTTTCCCGGATTACGGTTATAACTTTTAGGTGCGCAACCGCTCAAAGTTTTACGGGATGCAAGGCACCCTGTAAGCATTTAAGTATTTAGATAATACTGCTAACCAACTCACCCATTGCTTTGTTTTGCGAGGAATTTCCGATGGACCGACGTCTTATCAGACACACAAGTAGTAGAGTGATTAGCAAAACGATTATAAACAAGGCAGAGAGACACACGATGATAATCTCATTCATCGTGTACCGGGCTCCAGCCACTGTTTGGCCATACATCATAGCATTGTCCACCACTCCCACTTCATTATAATGTGTTGACATACTCGGTAATTGATTGCCGCTAAAAGATGTTCTACCATTCTCACCGTCACTTTGGGCTTGAGCAACATTCCTAACTCTCTCTGAGTTATCGAGCTCCCCGTCCCTCAATGTTTTTATGAACACCCTCAAATTTTTGAATAAGGTACACTTTGGCCTAGGCTGTTGACCATTATCGCATGCTTCCAGCGTGAGAGTATGAACGCTAGGCTTGATTGCGTCGGGCTTGACGCCACCCTCCGATAGCGACATAACCACACTGTTGTTGCGCTCCAGTTCCAAGTGATTCGCTTCCACAATCGGGTTGGGTGCACTAGCCAAGTATAATAATCCCGTGCTTTTGTCCAGTCCAAACAAACTATTTGTGTTTCCAGAACGGATTTGGTAACTTATCAGAGCATTCTCTCCCTCATCTGCGTCGGTTGCTTGAATATAAGCCAATTTGTGTCCAAGAGTTTCATCTACTGCGATCGCCAGTGTGTTCGCCGTTGCGTTTGGGCTGATGAATATTGGCCAGTTGTCGTTTTCGTCATCTACAACTACAGTAACAGTAGCCGTCCCAGTCAACTGCATCGGTCCCATGGATCCTGGCCCAGACGAAACTTCCGGAACATTCCCATCTCTGGCAAATACCAAGAATTGAAATTTAGCCTGTTTTTCTCTGTCTAGGGGTTGACGCGTACGCAGGATCCCTGTCATCAGTTCGATGCGGAATACAAAGGCATCTGGGTCGTTAGATAAATAATAATGTATTGATCCGTGAGCTTCGGAGTCTTGGTCAGTGGCCGAAACTTGACCAACAGATTCGGTTCCCGGACGATTTTCCATTACATGGAAGGTGTATGCATGTTGCGTGAACTGTGGGACGTTGTCATTTTTGTCAATGATATTAACCTGAGAAAAAAAGAATAGCATTCATCAATAACCTCAGCCTTGTATGGTACATTTTATTGAGTGTGGATTAGGCACAATAAGTTGAAAGGATTTTGCTTTATAGGTCCCTTGACTGGTCATATTAAAAGCAGTCTATTGAAAGATATACCAGTATATGGTCTTTTATACTTAGCTGAGCATAAAATTACGTCTATTCTATACAAATCATAAGCCGCTTTCAGATAATACAATGGTCTCAATATGACACCAGATAGTAAAAACACGATAATTGTATTTTATATGCCTATTTGATTTACGCAGCTTAGTAAACACAACAGAAATATTAGGATTAAATCCTTGGTGGTCTCCAGTGCCACCATTACCATGAGTAGAGTACAATGGAAAGGGAGTAGCATTAATCTATCGTAACATTAACTTGTACAGGTAAACCATTTGCGTGTGTGCCGAATAAATGCACCTGCTGAAGGCTGCTTATTGGAGATATCGAAAATCAGAGATTTTGATATTAAAAAAGAGCTATTACATTTTCAAGTTACATTAAACTTGTTAGATTTCAAGAGTGCCTATTAGGGTACAACATAAAGCAGCTTGACAACATGCTTATTTTATAAAAGTACTTATTTATTACATTGTAAATCCACAGGGTTAGACCAAAGACTGTTTGCGGATATGGGACCAAATCAGTACACCACCAGTTGAATTGGTTCACATAAAACCCGTAAGCAATTTACTGTGGCCAAAGGAAAACAAACAAATTTGGACAAACAGCCAACTCCAGGAAAAGTAAAATTCGACATCGGACTTCCTGTTTAGTCACTTTGCGTGTAGAAAAAGTGAAATGTTCTTCCATATAGTGTCTGCCAAGTCTGATAAACAGGATTTTTCCGGTGGAGCATGAACTTTTTGTGCTGAACTTGGCGTACCTCCAAAATCAAGTACGAAGCAGTTCGAGCGGATCAACGGCTAACTACCGACAACAGGCAGCTGTCCCAATGCCGAAATACGAAATCGCCTTGGTTTGTCGCTTTTGGCCAGCTAGCCGCCAACCCACCGTTCTCTGACATAATAGCTACATGCCACACTAGCGTGTGATTTCTTAAGCACTTTAAAATGTGACTAAGAGATTTGGTGGTATGTTTAGTTGCAACTTAGCGTACATCGCCCAGGTGCGTACTCCTAGGTGAAAAACATCTCTTACCTGTAAGTTTAGGCTGCGAAACAAAATAATGGCCTGTTGCTATTAGCGGAATTGCCAACAACTACTGCGCAAAAACCGCGCACCTAATTGTGTTGCTGCATGTATCTCTTTAATAGTGTTGATTCCGCTAAGCTAGCAGTGCTGGATATAGTTAGATATAGCAGATAAGTGCAGCTTCCAGAGAATTGCCTTCATACTATGTTAACTTAACGACACATCGCATATATCAAATGTTACAAATACACATAGGGAACCCGAACTGAACGTGCATCATACACAAGTGGCATTCTGGTTTAGGCCACATTACTGAATGTGCTGCCTACAGCTTAGTCTTTTACACATAACAAAAGTTACGAATACCGCTGCATTTGCACCTCAACAGTTTAACCGATCTGGGTAATCGACGGTTATCCTCCTTTGCTAATGAATTCGGTACAGTGGAAAACCTATGTAGGAGAACTAGCCTCCATCTGTCATGGCCATTAGGTACATAAGTAAACGCGTGCGCAAAATCGTCCTTTGAATCTAGGTCCTATCTATTTCCGGATCATTTGCCTTGAGGATATGCTCCGTTTCTGAAAATGAGGAAAACCACAACACATACATCTTTCGGGCACATGCGGTTAGTTTTTGATCCACTACTGTTTCTGCTTTTTTTGATTTTATCGATTAAATGATCTACCATAATATCTGATGAAAGATTATTGCTTCCGAAGTGAATCAATTAAGAAGCCACTTCAGACAGAATCAGTTTTGGCACTATAGACCAAGTCAAGTCTGTGTGCCTTAGTTTTCGGTCATTAAACTGTCCTCATTAAAGCTGTTAAACGTTGTCCAACCGAATCCTTAAAACTGCATACCTCTTCTACTGCAGTGCACAATTCATTTAAAATTTATTCAAGAAGCTGCACTGTAACTACACAATTGAGTGTTACACCTTTCTGCAACTTACCTCGCCGGGTAACCCCAACACTGACTAAGTAGAGCAAGCATATTTTTGCAATTTTGCTACTAAATCACCTGTTTATTAATTTCTAAAGTCCGTCGCGAAAAGGAGAATGTTCCTCACAAAGCCTAAACCTCTTGACTTGTACATGTATATCCACAAAAACACGTTAGAAGACTATCAGCATTTTGAGATTATGCTATTTGCAAATAGCTGCAAAACCGACTCAAATTGTCTGATGACATCACCTAGTTCCGCGACGACTCACACGTTATACAACAGACTGGCAGTTGGAACGTCAAAGTATGGCATTTACTTTGCTGTTCCAAGTGCAGAGGGCTGTTACAAAATGGGTAGGCACCCATTAGATTGCTAACCATAAAATGCACATAAACTGAAGAGGTAGATAATTTTGTCTACCTAGTCAGACGAGCATCTGTCGAGCGCACAATCTGAGTGAGGTACACTTCGTATGGCAACAGCCCGATCAAACTTTGCTACTTGGAAAGATTGGTAGCGTCGTCGGGATATCTCTTTCCGGCCTCATAGTAGGATTTAAAATACTTTTTTCCTGGGATAGTTTTCTGTGGATGTTGGCGGACGATCGCCCATATGTGGTGCAAACCCGGTGTGTAATAATGCTATCAAACATCCCGTCGCTGACAAAATAGATCTTCTGCTCTGTTATCTTGTTCTGTACGGCAAATTGAGATGGTTTGACCACTTCTAGCGCACACCTAGCGAGCGTAATTAGATTATTTCGACCAAAATAACTTCATCTGTTCGCAATTGCAGTCACATAGAAAAAACAGAATCCTGACGATAACTGATATTTTATTGGATCCAGCTCCTATCAAATATAACTTGGTCATTTAAATCAGTTTGAATAAGCCATGCGCATGATCGGCAATTTGATGAAGCGTTGTACTGGATGACGTAGGCAAGATACATGACCGACCTTCCACTGGTTAGCAGCAGAGTGAACCCATGTCGCTGCTGATTTGAGCTAAATAAGCTAGTTTTGAAGCACTTCATGACTTTAATCAGCCTAACCAAGTATTTCCATGCAGGACCACCATCTTTGGGCAATTATCAACTGTAACCACCCATGGAGAGTACACTGGCTTGAATAATTCCTAATGTTATAAGTATACGTTTTAAAACTACAAACACTTTTAGGAAGTTACATTTTACCTTCACAGTGGTGGTTCCGGTTCGTGGTGGATTCCCCCGGTCAACGGCCGTAACTTGAAGTACGAACTGAGCGTTCTCTTCACGGTTCAACATAACCGCAGTGCTGAGAGCTCCGCTGTGTGAGTCGATTAGAAAATAGGAGGAATTCCTCCCACTCTCTGATAAAATGTAGTACAATTCGGCATTCTGCCCAGCGTCACGGTCTGTAGCCAGCACGCTATGTTGTGTTCTATTCGTGTAGTCCTGGAAACGTCCTGCGTGACGCAAATGTGTCCCAGGCGGCATATTCTCTTCCACCTGCATCACATACTCATGTCTTTGAAACTGCGGACTATTGTCGTTTGTGTCTGAAATGTGTATCGTGAGATTCTGCTCTGTCATGTGGCCATCCAAATCTGCGCAGTACAATGCCACCAGTTGAGAATGGGTGGACTCCCGATCAAGTTCTGCCGCAGTTTTAAGGAGATAGGTCATCAGCCCGTTCCCGGAATCGACAGCCGTACGAGTGACAGGGTTGCTTTGAGTTAAAGTGAAATTTGGCGTCTTTAAGTAGCAGTCCACATGATCCGTCCCACCAAAGTCTGGGTCAAACGCCTACATGAAAGAGAAACCCGGAGTGTGAAAAATTATTTCAGCGACTGCAGCAATGTATGCCGCGGAAAACACCACCAGAGGATGTCAGAAAATCAGTAAGTATTTTCCCAACCGATTTCTTGCTAAAACTGCGCGTCTGTTGAACATTATTAGTACATACATTCGGAAGATCATGAAAAGTATTGGTTTAATTGGTCTTGTTAACCTTAAACTAATTAGGTACTTATAGTAACATATGCAGTCTGATAATTCTGGAACTCATCGGTTGGGCTAAAAATGCAGAACACAGAACAGCCTCCCTAGTCACATAGTACATTCAGACAGTTAGTTCGCTAAACGCATTACTTGTCTTCCATTTTGCAATACATTATCAGCAATGCAAAAGCAGAGTTGCGTCTTTTCCTAGCGTTGAGAAGCTCCCTTCTGCATACAACAGAAATCTACATTAACCCATGGGTGCGCAGTTAACCGGTTTGATTTGGATACAAATAACAAATTTTGATGTGATTCTTGCTGGAGTATATTTGCGCGTTTAGCACGCTGCTGTACGCTATGACTTACTGTATGTGCCAAATCTACCAGTGGCGTGTACCTTTGAAAACTTCTCCTAGGACCGCATTACGCAAGGTTCTAGCAGATTTATCTTTATTTAATTTCTTGTGATTTTGTTTGTGTGCTTGATGGAAGATAACAAAGGTCTTATAGTAAATATGCTTTTTTTATCAATCTGTTTGTGAGCACCTTATTTTTAGCAGACTCGGGATGCAAATATCAGCTTGTATCACAGACAAAATTAAACTAGATTATTTAAATCTTGTGAAAATATTATTGGTAAGTGTAACTTTAAATAGACCTAAGCTTGACAAACGGAGTTAATCTGGATCGTCAACCACTTCATATTTTGTTCCATCTCACCCAGTTTCTGATTGCGAGATTAACGGTTAAAGTCAATTTAACTTAGTCATAACAAGTGACCGTTGTACCATTAGTACTATTCTATTTCACACTCGTTCACACAGTGTGCACAGATGAAGCAGCAGCCTCAACATGCGGTAATCTCCTAGATGTCATATGCGGTGCGTATTGCTGAGGTGAACCCTCAGTCGACGATAATTTAGGGTGTATAGTCCTCATTTTTTACACCACTCTTCGTATGGCACACCTCATAGTTTAAGAATCATCATGGTAGCTACATGCTGCACTCGCTCATTATGTTCTACCTTATTCCGAGTGATACGACAATATGTGGGAGATCCACACTCTAGAATTGGTCGTATTATTGAGATGAAAATCGAGTGGTAATCACTTCGGACCAAGTGCTGAAGCTGCGCCTAAGCGCCCAAAGCATACGAAGGCTGTTTTGGTAAAGTCTATTCGTCTCGTCCATGGACTTTAGGTCGGAGAGTGACAGTATACCGAAGTCTTGCACGAAATGCACGGGATGCAACACTTGATCAGCCAGCGTGTATGTTCGACTGTGCTTACACTAAACCAGGCTCATGAACTGCAACTTAACCGGGTTGATCGCAAGGTTAACCTCTGCAGACCATGTCGAGAGGCGGTCGAGGTCCTGCTGAAGTAAATCACAATCATTGAGTGCGCGGATTAATCTTCACACCTTCAAGTCATCTGCGAACAACACACAAAGTGATTTGAGTAGCTGACGCATTTCGTTTACATGGGTGAGAACTAAATTTGCCCCCCAGTACAGTGCGTTGTGACACGCCACTGCTCGATAGATACCAGTCGGTCAAATGGTGGTCCACCTGCACCCTCCGCTTTGATCAGCAAGGAAATTCTTGATCCATCCATGCAGGGAGCCACCAACATAGCACACCCTCAGCCTGCCGAGGAGGACTGCATGATTTACCTTGTCAAAGGCCTTTATGAAGTCACAGTAAATGTTGTCGACCGGCTTACCTTTAATCAGCGCTTGTAACCATTTGTGCCTCGTCAACAGTAGGTTGGTGATGCACGAGCGACCTTTCACGAAACCACGCTGTACGCGCATCAAGAGCCTTTTCTACTGGCGAAGCTGCATAACACTCCTGTTCACTATTTTCTCGAGCGTATTTGCCAAAACAGCGGTCAGGCAGATAGGCCGGTAGTTCTCTACTTTGCCGCAAACCCCCAAGAATAAGCAGGCCTTGCCATTATTCCAAAAGACCGTCAAATTGTCCCAAACATGCCTGAGTCCAGCGGCGTGTATTCCGAGTTTATTCCCGCAAGTTCCTTCACTACATGTGATGGTGCACTTTGTCCAACCATTTACAAATAGTCAGTAAACCTGCATACGCAACATGGATATCTTAGAGTACTAGTCTTAAATGCTCCGTCCCTCAACAGCAAAATGCGCCACGTATGTTCTTTACTGATTCTCTCCTGTCCTGACATTATACTTGTCGAGCAGACTTGCCAAAAGGAACATGGTTCTGATACCCACTTTTACCTCCCAAACGTCTGCAGCTATAACACTAGTCGCATATCTCGTTTGGTTGGCGGTTGCCGCACATATGTGGACAAAAAGCACAATGTAACGTCTGTCTGCGACCTACTTCTAGATGGCCTTGATGACCCTGTTAAGATTAACATTCAGCTAAAGTGCAAAACCATCGTTACTGCTGGATGTACAACCCACCACACTGTCGTAAGTCGGATATCGATCACCTCGTGAAAGTCTTCTCAAATTATTCTCAGCAGCCAGCAACTCAAAAAATTCTTGGTGGAGATATTAATATTCCTGAGGTTTCCTAGTATCCACGACGTCCCCATTAAAATATCTGCATTTTGTTTCAGCAATCCATTTCTTTCATGGGATTCAACAAATTTGATCAACAGCAAGAGGTGAAAACTTGCTAAACCTAATCTGTACAAAAGACATAAGTCTTAAAAGGAGGAGCATCCTTCCAATCTTCCTGAGAGTGAGCACAAGATAGCAGAGATCAGCTTCGAGGCAATCGTTTACAGGCACAAAGCATTCAAAAGATTATAAATTGTTGTGACTATCAACTGACTAACTGGAAATACTTTGCAATCAAACTGTGATCTCTAGACTGGGATGACTATTTCTTCTTCCTTGAACCTCAACATGCGGCTTACTTGTTATATCAAAACATTATCTCTTGCCTAGATGTCTTCCGCCCGATGCGTCACAGGCGTACTTCCCTTAAAACGAGTCAGACCACTATCTCGTCGCATATAATAGGGAAGCTAAAGAAGCTACAGTATGGATCTAAACAAAATAACAAGTTTAGTTTATGAGTTCAGCACAATCAAATAGTAGATTCCATAGAAACAAATCGGTCCTTAAAATTTCTCAGTGATGGACCGATATCTTAGCCTACTGCATTAAACATGGAAATGACTGGACTATTGCAGCTTAGGAGCAACTTCAAGCGTGATATACCACCTTCCATTATACTACCCAAAATCAGCCTTTCTGCAAAACCGGCTCAGATGTGTGAGGTTTACAATGAATACTTCTTAACCTTTTCACAGAACAGTACACACCATACCCCGATGGTAAATATGTCCAGCAAAACTGCAGATTACATCTGTACTGTTGAACTTGAGCAATCGGAAGTAAGAACTCTGATATACACAATGCGAATGGGCTTTTATCCTGACACGGATATAATACCGTCTGTTGTGTTCAAATTCGGCGGCCCTGATATCTCCACACTGTTTCAAAATAATTTTACGTTATACAAAAGTCTGGGCTGTTTCCAGATGTGTGAATATATGCATTGGTTTAACAAAGATATGAAAGTGGTCCAGATCAATTGTGGACGAGCTATCTGTCCATCAGCCATACCTCCATTCTGTGTCGAACAATGGAAAGGTTAATAAATTCCAAAACTATTGAATTCCTGTCGTCTCGGAATTTGAGCAAATACTTCCCAGCACTGATCTCTGATAACACGGTCATGTATTACTTGTCAAGTACAATTTCTCAACTTCGTTACTTATTCTTTTGATCGTTGTAAGCGTCTAAACATGGGATTTCTTGAGGCGTAGAGCGTTCGATCGGGTACCATTTGGAAATCTTCCACTGAACGTACATTCCTTTGGTAAATCTGGCAATTTATATGCTTAGCTAACATTGTACCTTTATGGTCGGCTTCAGGCAGTTAAAATACTAAGCAATATTTCCACAAGTAGGAACGTCACAAGTGGTATGATCCAAGGAAGTGTTCAAGGACCTAGTACGTCTCTGATGTGCATTAACGACGTATCTGATGTGCATTAACGACGTACCTGATGTCACTAACCATGGCAAACCCTATGTATTCGCCGATAGCATTAAATTTGTCTATGAGTTCGATTTGGACAAGTTTACCACCGCAATGTCCGACGTACGACAGGATCTGCACGAGTTGGAAACTTGGTGCAGCAAGTGGAAAATAGTAATCTCATTCGAGAAGTGCAGCTGCTTATGTTATCGGTGTATTATTGCACCAACATTTTAATGCTAGAAGGTAAAACCCTGCCCACCTGTCTCATAATTCGTGATCTTGAGATACACTACTCAAGCTCCAACAATTTCGCCTAACTGGTGCAGTACATGGTTGCAAAAGCTCGTAAACTAGGAGACCTACTATTAAAATCCTTTATTTTAAATGAAACAAAAATCTACTGTATAAATTCCCGTATTTACCCCCTACTCAAAAATTGCGCAATTATATACTCCAATCTGAGAAAAAGTGATAGAATTCAATAGAAAATATACAGCGCTACATTACAAAGCGCCTAAGGAGAAACACTGGTGATCTTACCTACTATAACCTTTGTTGTGAGATGAACATGGTACCTCTCTGGTTAAAGCGAATAAACTAAACCTCAACTTCATGTTTGATATACTCCACAAACGAGACTTTTCTTCAGACTTCTAGGCTGTTATTCAACCTAACAAGTGCAATAAAATGAATAGAGATAGCACGTTACAAACCGAAAAGGCACGAACTAGCTTGGGATGGCATTTCGGTAATAACCACTACCCCGTGATGTGGAACAAACTACCGCAGAAGCTGCGAACGCGTGGCTCAAAGTGTTTTTCATATTACAGTTAACAGAAAATTGATTATGAATAACAGGAAGAATATGCTAATCTCAGAAGTGGGTGTAGCCAGTTTATATGAAGATGGAAAGAGTGCCATACAGCAAGTGATAAAATTCTCTGATTCAAAGTCAACCACCACTACCACATTTTTATCTATAAAGCAATCTTGTTGGACGCTTCTAACTCACTCTTTTCTGTCCGGAAGAATGAAGGAACAATTTGCGAAACGATTATCGAAATCCGTCGAAATCACTCCCTACACACTTCGGCTGCTCCGGTCCGATTAAACGCAAACCCTTCTCAGCGATTCCATTACAAATGTGATCGGATTAACCCCACAGCCCGTGTCCCGCACTATCGTGACATAAACTATTCATCTGTATTTATATTTATGACTACCGTTTTTCACATTTACAGTACTGTTCCAGATTACTTTTTCTGTCGCAAAGGCGACAGCGCAGGACCAGAGAACATGTCTCAATGCTCAGCGCTATCGATTCCTGTACTTTTCGAACGCAACCAAATGATGTTAAATCTGAAAATTATTTTAAGAACCATCTAACTTATTAATACTTCGAGTAATCATTCCATTTTATCACTTACCCTGTTCAAATTGGTGGGCCTGTCTTGCGCAATGTTTTATATTCTTCTTTATTTCGCTGCTGAACATGACTGGGTCGATCTCCAGAGATGACGGATTGTAAGCTTCCAACGCTAATAATCATACCCATGCAAGGCTCATTGCCATTGGTTCTCTGGCGATAAATTTGTGCTTGACTAAAAGGCCAGCTGATGGTACGGGCTACGTGAGTTGACTGCCTACACTATATACACAGAACAACAGATCTAAACATGAGTTACATACTTGATGGCTTATCTGCTATATCAGCCACAGCGGCACGAGACCAGATAGGACATGGAAGTGCGGGTGAAATCAATCGAGAGTATAACCCGCATGGAAGCATGTCCCTAGGCGGCGGTCCCAGTACTGACCGTATTACTTCACTTGTATCTTTCTACACTCGTTATCTTTTAAAACCCCACAATCCTCCAGAAATAATTAACCGATCAAGTGACTATATCCGCCAAAATGCTTGAGGATTGGTTTGGAAAATTCGAGGAATATAACATCTGCTCCTTGCGACGTTGCAGTGCACCTAGAGTCGTAATATCCGGTTGGAACATGCTTCGCACCGACGAGATTAATACCTGTTTTTTACTCATCACAAATTCATGTTACCCATGCAAGGGCGTGATACTAACTGGACATATTTGATATGCGCCAAATACAAACGCTGCTTCTCATCTAAAGAGAAATATACCCATTGCCATTAACCTGAGTCGGACCAAAATTTATGGTACCGCCAGAGCTTCCGCGAACAGTTCTGTTATCGCCATACAGCCAAACCTTGGATTCGTTCAAGTATTTTCTTCAAAATGCCAAATGTTTAATCGACTTAAATTTGCATGTTTGCTTTTAAATAATGATCAACCCATTTATACGGGATAGCTACTTGTTCTATAGATCTAAGTGATCCATAAGGACGGGGAGAAAATCTGGTAGATTACTTGCTAGTAAGGTCCTCCGAAACGTCGCGTTATATTGCATATGCAGTGCGTTTGCTGCTTTCATAACCGTAATTGTTGGACCATCCGACGTCCTGAGTGAAGGGAATACTTGCTTAACTTTCATGGGCCATTGAAGTGTTTGTACAGTTTGTACAGCCGAAGATATTTAATATATCCTGCTGTTATGTTGCTTAGTCTTCTCTGAGCGTCCGAGTGCAGTTGTTACATTGATCTAATTATTTATCCCTACTTACCGGTGGTGGAGCTATATACCCCTCAATGAAACTTTGCAAATAAAATCCATTTCTATGTACCGCTCCTTAGGAACGGAAGTGATTTAAACCCACTACAAACATTGTCTCTGAAATAACTTTAACCAGCCGAATGACTTTCTTGACGAACTCTAGCTAGGCGACTTCCACGGGTTTCTTTGGCAAGGAACGACCAGGCTTTGGCGCTGACGATTTGCACAAATTGATCGTAACGTGCAATGGTATGCGAAATCTCATAGTTCTCAACCCGTTAATCCTCACAGCAGCCCAAGTTGAAAATAAGGCCTTCATGATTACGGCGATCCATGGACAGTCCACAACCAGTACATCCGCCAACTGCTTCTCCTTAATAAGTACAAAATCCAGCACAGGTGGCCTGTTAACTATTCTGAGTCAAGTGGGAAAAGTGACGTCATTGTAAAGTGGAACATGGGCTAACCGTCTTGCAGATCAGATTTGAATCGTTCTCCGGTCTTACCAGGGGATGCTGAACAATGTAAATTGAAATCACCCATGATAAGGATGTGAGTATATTTAAAGTTGGCAGTCCGTTTTGCGTCTAGAGTTAGAGGGATACACACAAAGGATATAAGGTGTCTCTGCCATTTAACTGCAGACAGCACCAAAGAGAATCTGGGAATTACGAGTCCGAATCTCCCATGTCCTCGCAATGCAAGTCGCTTCGGTAATACGGTATTTGCCACCTTTCTTTGGTGAGTTTATCGTTTTGGATGAGGGACCTCTTTGTAAGCGAAACTTCAGCGTCCATGGTTCCTGTGTGATATCAATGATATAATAGTATTCGGAATCTTGGCGATTTTTCCGGTTGACTATTTTATGGAAAATGCCTTGAGCATTGGTATAAAGACAGGTTAGTTCGTCGGCCTGCAGTAGCCCACACGTGATTGTGGAGTCATGTGTGCTCGTCCATTAATTGTTTTTTATGGAATATTGACACCTCATTTGTAATGTAATTCGGCCAAGACGCGTCTTAATCTTCTTTCACATCTAAGTCAGAGTCGAGTAAAAGCGTAGTCATACAAAGCTCCTATTTTGTAAGCGGCACGTTTGCAGTTTCAAGTCATTCATAACGGGACTTTGCAAAGCTTCTGTTGTCTTTGACCAAAGTTCAGAATAAATCATTATGTTTTATCGTATACCGTAAAAAGCTCAAACAAATAAAACCAATAAATTTCACTAAGCAGTACATATCAAAGAAACCCGTGTTGAATAAAATACAGGTGTTCATGTAAGTAGTTTCAATTTCGTACTGCTAGGGAGTTCTATCAATTGAACTGACTTGGTAAAACTGCTAGCTATTGGTTGTTCTGACAACAAAGTGTGACCTCTTTCCCATTGATGCCTAATTGATCCGTGCAACTATTTTCCTAAATCTAATAACAGCATCATGCTGACAGGACTCCTGAAGCTGATCTTAGATGAAACCATCTGCCGCATGATCCGAAGGACTCTTTAAAGTTAAGGTATTTTACGTACGTAGGCTTCAGAAACCTGAATCACTGAAACTCTGAGTGCGTCGCAGTCAACAATGGATATGTGTGAAAAAACACTTCACCACTTTGTTAATTATTGTCACCACAATGTCTACCCACTTGACTAAGCGCTATCTTTTGCCCCTAAACCTTTCACAAAAGTTGAGCACAGGCGCGAAATTGTCTTGCGTAATTCAACAATACTTGGCTTCGCAACTGCAGAGTTTGATGTGGCTGCTTAATGACATAGCCATCGCTAAACCTATCCCCTTTTGTTTTCCCACGAACATGGGATTGACATATTTCTCTTTTGCGACTGTTTGGAAAGTGTTGTTAACATGCTGTACAAAGGAAAAGAAGCATGCATGCATTCGAAATTGCCGCCTATTTAAACGTTTTGTATTCCTACATCTCATGAGACCTATGGGCAAATAGAGCGACGGACCAACCTTCAAACATATGGCCACTTCCACAGCTTCTCTCTACAATACCTAAAGTGGGTTAAATATAAACGATGATGAATCAGCCGATCCAGAAGCTAGGATACCGAATTTTGAAGTAAGATGCTGCATTTTCGAGTGGGTTCTCAAGAAAGCATTTAGCAAAGTACTTGGACGAAATTTAAGCGGAAAATGTGAACTGTGGTAAAGACAACTTCTGGTTCCAGGGAAGACTTAAACATTCACATTCGTTTGGTAAGTAGATATTGCTAAGTATTGCTTCTGTTCAATCAAGCGAATGGTACAGCATCTGTTAGGATCAGATCAAACATTGTGCAAAACTCCATTACTCTGGATGTACCGAAGACGGATAGGATGAAGCAAGCAAGGATGTTAGAGCAGTAGGTTGGCTTTCGTGTTCAAAATTACACGGTATCTAACAGGGGACAACTACAGGTTTACTCACACAACTATTAATTTTACAGACATAACATTCTGTTAAACTGCTCAATCAACTGGTTATTGATTTATTTATTTCAACTGTAAGCTGACGAATTATTCGTTTTTCCTAGGCCTAACTTAGCTGCTCTCACTTTTAGCGCATCTGTTAACCACATTGGTTTCGTATCGTTACCATACGCGCAAAATAGGGATGTAGCTATTGTGCTGGAAATGGTTAGATGCTAGTGTTTCGTTAAATGGCATAACATGCGTCTTGTCAGCAATAAAGCATGTAATTTCACTTCATGGCCAGCATCCGAAAAAAACGGAAGCAAACTGTTTCAATATTTATTACAGCCGTTTGTATTGTGCCCGTTCCCCTTCAGCTCCCGTTTGCAACATCCGAATAACAAAATGATGTGCATAATTATATGAAGAAGGGAGCCGCTATAATGCCCAGTATATCAACTGCCGCCAATTTGCTTTCAAATTTAAAGTTTAGCAACGCAGCTCGCATGTTTTTATCAGGTAGGGCACAAGTGTTAACAGAGAGGAGAGAAACTCTACTAATCAAGCCCGCATCACTCATTCGAGATGGATTTCAGCTGTTAAACCGTAACAATGTTTTCATTGCTCACACGGACGTAAATTTAGTAAAAACCGCTTTTGCCATTTGACCCCAGAATCGGATGCTCAGACAAGAAAGTAGGCCATCATTTCAAGTACATAATATAAGTTGAAGCAAGTATGTCGCAAGGTATGCATTAATTAACGGTAAGATAAAACTGCGAGTAGATTTGTCGGACCATTCTTTATTACACTTACGGTGCTATCATGCCAGGTTATACTTCATTTAGAGATCATTTGACAACAGCAGAGAACAAAGACTGCCTGCAAACATTAGCTTGTCTCATAGATGTTTCACTGATTCATTTAGAGAAATAATTGGGGTTTTATCACTGGGATGTCAGCAGTGCCATACAAACGTAATCCTCATGCTAAGATGCACTTTCTTTTTAGTCATGGTTGCAGTGGTTTCTACACTATATAACTAACCACAACTACCTAGTCAAGAAACAAAGCAAAGTGTAACATATTAACTCGCCTGGATTGTTGCAATTACCGTTCCGACTGGTTGGTTCTCTGAAACAGTCAGGTGTCTAAATCGAAAATGTTCCACCGCACTGGTAGTTAGGGGGGTGAAATTCTGATCTTTACCCACACGAATATCGATTATCGGGGCTTCATCGTTTTCATCTGTGACAGTTATGATCACAGTTGCTTCACTCGATCGCGTGTATGGCCGCATCGCTTCATCCTCGACCATGACTCTGAAACGAAACTGCATTGTTGGTCCACGAGGTTGACCCACAGACGGCATTATGTGGTTCATTGTTAATAGTCCCTCCTCGTTGGGCAAACGCACTGCATTCGCTCTGGTCAGCAAAGCGGGGTCTGCTGTAGTATGCATCTGGTCGACGTTCAAAGGGCGACGCACAACCACTTGACCGTTCGGACGGACATCAAAGTATTGCCGGGCAAACACTTCAGAAGTTATCCACGCATGCTCTCTGCTGAAAGCGAAATGAAATGCTCCGTTGATACCAGTGTCCGCATCTGTTGCGTTCAAAACCAACACTGTCCTCCCGACCGGAGTTGTTTCCGCCACCGGACCATTTGGTGTGAACACAGGCTGTGTGAACAGCGGTGCGTTGTCATTGATATCGACAATGAGAACGTCTATAATTAGGCGCGACGTCAACTGACGTTCTGATCCACCGCCCTGTTGATCAACAGCTCCGTTTGCACGATCTATTGCTTGAAGAACGAACTGATATGTCTCACGTTCCTCACGGTCCACATTTTTAAGTGCCTGTATGTACAGGCCATCTACGGGATGTTCTACCAGTCCGAATGGACTGAATCCTCTGTCAACATCTTTAGGAGGAACGAGTTCATATCGCAACTGTGCATTGGTTCCAACATCACTATCTGCAGCCAACGGCAGAGTCCTTCTCTCTCCGACAGAGTCTCCATCTCGGAAGGTAACCTGGAATCGTTTCAAATGCCCAGGCCAAGTCGGTGCGTTATCATTGATATCCTGGATCAAAATACGGATATTTAGGACAGATTCAATAACCTGACTGTTTGTGCTAAGGGCCGAATCACGGTCATTTACTGACGTCATAATGCGTAACATCACGGGGCAAAACATGTTGTCCGATGTAATTGTTCCAAAAGCAGGGATGTTTGGGTGCAACAATGGAGGAGTAATCTGACTGAACTGATTAAATATTCCACTGAATCTGGCATTGGAACCAAAAGCGGAGCGCGTACACAAGGTTTCGCGATCAATGCGCCTGACGGTAATTATTCGTCCATCTGGTCTTATCTAAAGAAACAAAATACAAAGAGTAACTGCAGTGTAGGAATAGTCAAATTGGGTGCTTAATCAAATAACAAACATTTGTAGTAAATAACAAGAAGGCATATCAGTTAAATTATCAGTCAAAAACCAGCACCAGCAAAGTGTAATGATATTGGGGCCTAAAGACTAAAGTGTGGCATTTGTAGCATGCAACGCTTTGTTTGCGCCACACAACAATGATTCTCTGCAGCTCAATACTATCGAAACTTTAAACTATGCTGAAATTCACTGAAAGCAAAAGCGCTGACAAATTATTCATGTCATATTCTGCAATTCGAATGGAGCGTGCAGACTCGGATAGCAACGAACAAATGTGTGCTCTCAGTGGAAAGTTTAGTTCTTCGTTCGGTTGGTGTTACATAACCCCATTTTTCTCCCGGCCATTCAAAGGACCTGCATAGGCAAAACAGTTTCTATGCCATTTTGTAGTGTTTTCTGCTATGTAACATGAAATGCATACTTTCTAGTGGATGTACATGTTGGATCTTGGAGTACTCACCGTTCAGTGGGATTGCAACACACAATTTCGAATAAGATTCCGGCTTGCTTTAAAACAATCTGATACTGCGGTCACTAGGATCCCATCCGATGTGGAGAGTTTTGGAGCTGCTTTTTCCCAAAAATTTACACCACGACTGACGATTTCTATCTAATTTTGCTATTTCAAATAGAGATAGCCTGAGCTGACAGTCAAACGCGATGCAGTTTTCTTGATGGCTTGCGCAATGGTCAATAATCCTGAGTGTTGGACGCGGCGGATTTACTGAGACCTGGCTAAGTGCCCACGACTTAAGTCGTTAACCACTATTTGTCGGATTCCACAATCATATCGAGCTCTCTCTACCTGATTACGTCGAATCAGAAAGAAACCGTCGGCTTTTGAGTATAGCGTTGGGAGAGTAGCTGCGAAACGCTTCACTTCTGATTGATGTAGTTACTAAACTGTATCCGACGCCTTTTGGAATACAGACGTATCTTATGCTAATAGGGAAATCTCAAAATGTATTACTTCCATTCATCTAATCAATAGCGTTTTGCATCATTTATATATGTTACTTGATCAAGTCAGTAATGATACAGTCAATTTAGTAGCCATTACAATGAACTCATAGTTGGATGTAGAATTAGAACAGAGAATACCCAACATATTTGTCTTTCGTTTATATTCATCCCCACATTGAATGCATTAGAGGCTGCTTTGTTGAGTGAAAAAATACAAAATCTAGTTAGCGAAACTGGTGATTTTAGGTTAGCTAACAGCTCATCGTTATAAATACTGTTGGGTACATATTTGTTGATCCTATGTTAAGGAGAGCATCTTAGATAAGAACCCCTCACTTCACCGTACAGTAGTTAGGGTGGTCAGCAAAATACCCAGAAATTATGGTTTCTCTAACTAACAAAAGTTTACGCTAGTTTGTTAATTGCTGACATTGGCTGTGTTTGAGCCATAATGTCACAGCATTATTAATTTAGGTTCCTCGGGGAAACACATCAATGCATGCATACCTCTAGAATATCTTTCGGCCAGGTATTGAGGATTAACGTCTAACGAGCAATGTCTGGATCGTTGGCGGGCAGTGATTTTAAAACGGGATAGCTGCCGTGCGTTGAAAGCATGTAGTGTCTGGCTACAAATATAGATAATTGCTTCCCTTTGTTTTAACATTTCATCTCCTAAGTATAGTTGATTTCAAGTATGTGTAGTCAGCAGCCCTTGCAAATAACTCTCAGCTTAATCAAGCAACAAATAATAACTCAATATACATACTATACATACCATACTATACTTTAAAACCTGATTATTATCTCAGTTGACAGATGCTTCTGACAGGCCGAAATTAGCAAGGATGTGAGGCAAAGCTGTAACTACACATTATTCTATGATAATTCACGTCTCTTTATACTAACATAATCGTCTATCCAGACGTGCTGTTCTAGAGATAGAGCAAGCTCTCGGTGCCACTTGAAGCAGTTTTCATCGTTTATGTAGGCAAACCGTGGGTTCACCGTGGGTTCACCTGTTTGCCGAACTTCTTAATTGGCATGCAAACGTTTTATCACACGAAGGGGAGACTTCCTCAGTGAGCTGCTAGCTCAAATGTAATTTGCTAACTTGGTTGTTGATTTGTACTCGAGCAACAAGTGACTTTTGAAGTTATCTCCTCAATTTGCGCCCCTTGATCTTCACCCGTCAAGTAACTTGCATAGATTTTCAGACATCAGTTTTCTGATACTTTCCTCACTTTGGTCCAGGCCTTCGGTGATTGCATGATTTCGGTGTCTATGCCTGTGGATAGTAAATCGGAGGTCTGTTACTGACGCTGCGGGGGAGAGCATCATTGCGTAAGTAATCATGACGAAACTTTCGCACACCAACTACGAAGTTCAGCGAACATGTCAACCCAAGAAACTGTGGCACAGTTTACCAAACTGTTTTTATACCACAAATTTGAATAACGCTCATGTAATTAGACTTTAAATCGAAGCCTTTTCTTCAGTGGATTTGAATGCGATTCATGGGAGAGAATTATCACTAAAAATCTTTTAATTGTAACAAACAACGGAAGCGCTGCAATTGCTCCTTAACTGTCGGAATAACAACCGGCGTTATCTACCCGAGAGAAACTTAAAATGCATAGTCAGTTAGTGTGATTTTGCTACAGCTTATAGGTTCACACAATAATGGTCCCTTCTCAAGCGGAATCGATACAATCATTCCAACCTATGGACAGTTCCAATTTGATAAATATTCGTCAATACACGTGTTAGGAATGTCAAATTACTTCAAAACGATCTATCTGAAGAGCATTCGACATAACCGATGTTTAGTACTGGCTTGAACATTTGATAACATCGGAAAGCATCAAAAACAATTAAGCGTAATGCGTATCACCTAGTACTGAATAGGTTCTGAAGTAACTTCACAAATATTTTTGCAGACATAACCAGGAAATTTGCAACACATCGCTAACTCTTGCCAATGAATTTAGGTGGAACGATATTTAGGCTGATATCTCAATAATGTCTTTGCGGGAAATGTACCCATTTATAGAAGAAGCTATCCTGTTTTTAACATTTATCTGAAGTATGGATGCAGGTTGGTCAATTATTGAAAACAAGTTTGTCATGAACGACAACAGATAAAAATCACCGTTTCTTCTTGATGGATAATTCATTAGGTCTCAGTAACCATGCAGTAATAACGTTCAACTATGTGTGTTTTGCGGATTATCCATCTGAACGCTCAGAACTAATTCATACAATCACACGCTACCACGTATTGAAAGTACTCGCCGACGCAGCTGTTTGGAAATTCTCAAACAACAGTCCCCTTGACAACGTTTGGACAGAGTTCGTTAATAGAATCAACGACATCATCAAAAGCGCATCAGAGACCAAGCCGCTTCGTCCCGCAAAAATGACTTCAATTCTAAGGAGCAGGACTCACAAATGCCTGGCAATAAGGAATGCAGAATGGTGTGCCTATAAGATTAATCCCGACTCAGATACTTGGGGCAATTTCCTGACCCATTGCAACCATTGCACTGCCCTTGTCCGTAAGGACAAAGTAACTCATCAACAGTGCCTAGCCAAAACGTTCATGACAAACAACAGACTGCTGTATAGGCATGTTAATGATCTTCGTAAAGTGAAGCATGTAATTGCTCCACTTTTCACGACAGGCGGTAGCATACAAAGTGCCGAAGAAGCAGCTAATGCCCCGCGGTACCAATACGCCCCAATTTTTGAACTCCCCGCCTCTACCTGTTTCATAATGTTTTGAACATTTCCGACTACACTGTTTACACATGTAATTTACAACCCATCGATTGTGCTAAGAAAGTTACTCTCACTACGTAAGCATAGTTCTTTGGAAGCAGAGAACACCCGCCCAAAAGCACTGAAGGCTGTAACCAACAAGCTAGCTGAACCACTGTCACGTTTTTCCAAAGGTGCTTTAATAAACGAAAAGTCCCCACTACGTGGAAGATTAGCATTATCACCCTAATTTTTAAATCTAGTAGCCGTTCAGATCCTGCAAACTATTGTCCAGTGACTCTCCTCCCTGTGCTCGCGAAGGTGATGGAAGCAGTCGTCTCTGAGGCTCTAACGTACTACCTGGAAAAATCAAACATCGGAGCAGCATGGCTCCCGTCAACACCGGTCATGCACCACCAACCTACTTATTGCACGAGGTAGTTGGACGGAAGTGGTCGATGATGGGGTCGGAGTCGACGTCATCTATCTGGACTTCTCCAAAGCTTTCGACCGCCTTGATCACCACATCCTACTTCAACGCCTACAGAGCTACGGGATCGGAGATCCTGTACTTGGTTGGATTGACTGCTTCCCTCACCAAATAAAAGCTTCAAGTACGCGTTAGGGGATCACTCGCTAACGCAATTGAGGTGGAATGTGATGTCTCCCAAGGCTCAGTGCTGGGAACGCGCTTATTTCTGGTGTTTATCAATGACCTGGTAAGAGTTAACTCCTCATATTTCCTGCTTTTCCCAGATGACCTCAAGATATGGCGGCGATTAGTAACAAGCCAGATCACGAACTACTCCAACATGACCTAGATTGCATTTAAGAATGGTCAACAAGGAACATGCTTCAATTGAACACAGCTGAGTACAAGATGATCCATCTGCGTCAATACTCGGTGAGAGCACAACTTGGAGAAGGTCTCTCAGGAGCCTGACCTGGGTGTATTGGTACAGAAATATCTCGGGCGTTCAAAACAAGCAGAGAAGGCGTTGAGAATCGGAAATCAAAACTTCTGCCTTCTTTTCAGCGCCTTCCATCGGTTTGAACCCTCAATCTTTCCCCAAATGCTTAACACCTACGTGCGACCCCACGTGGAATATGCTATTCAGGCGTGGCAGACGTGTCAGAAACAGGATCTTGTTACTCTCGAGACTCCTCAACGAAGGGTAACCAAGAATGTCAGGGGCCTCTTT